GGGGGCCTGATGGGCCCAGTAAGGAGTGTGGGCAAGGAGCAGTAGGGAGCCATAGAAGGGTGTGGAGCAGGCAGCCATGTGGTTGGATCTGCATTTTGGAGTGCTCCCCTGGCACCTGCAGATGGAACATGGGTGAGTGTGGAGGTGAGAACAGGAGACCACCAGGAAGCTGTGTTATTTGCAGCTCGGACCCAGGTAGAGAGTGTCATTCACCACTCATCAGGAGAAGTTTGCTGGTCCCCGCAGTCCCTGTCTCCTGGAGGCAGGTGGAACACGAGCTGTACATGCCCCAGTCACCTCCACGTGCCCCATGGGCTCATCCCCCTACTCTCTGTACATATAGGGAGAAACACACCCCAGCTTCTCCCTCTTTCCCTCCCTCTCTCTCTCCCTCCCTGCAGCACTGGAGCCTTGAACCCCTCCTTTCCTGGAGTTTTCTGCAAAGGCCCTTTCTATGTTCCCTTTACCCCAAGGGCTCTCCTCAGCCCCAGTTCTGCGTTCCCCAGGGGTGTGACCATCTCAGGGTTTTCTGGACACCTAGAGAAACCAGAGAAACCCCTGACCCTCGCCTGGGAGGGCCGGAGCCGTGCTGAGGAGCCACAGGCCCTGGCTGCCAGTGTACCTTGAGCAACCTTCTGCCCCTGTGGACCTTGGCCTGGGGGAGCATAGGTATGGGTTCCACAGTCTCCAGCTGAGGTTCTCAAACTGGTCCTAGAGCCCTAGCATTTCCAGAAGGGGCCTCAGGGATGCGAGGGTGGGGCTGGGGCTGGGGCTGGATAGGGCTGAGTGGATGGGTGTTGGTCCCCTCCCACTTCAACCAGGCCTGCTTAGATCTGCAGTTCCTATTGGGGTCTGAGAAGGATTAAAAAAACCCATTAACTCTTTATTGATTTTGTTTTTCTGATTACAGTAGAAGACCCAACCATACATTTGTGGAAAACAGAGACCATGAAAGCCCCCTTGTCCCACTGCTCAGAGGTGATTGCTGTAAAGCCTGGCATGTTGTCCTCCAGTCTTTTGGGGAATATAGCAACAAGTCATTAATTAGAAATGGGCTTATGCTGAAATAGCATTTTACAGCTTGATTTTTTCTCTATTGTTATACGTAGACATACCTCATTCTGTCAGATGGCTGCAGAGTGTTCCATAGTGTGGACATGCTATATTTTATTCAAACTTTCCCTTATTGATAAATGTTTAGGGTGTTTAGAATTTCTTTTTTCAGTCTTACCAGCAGTGTTTCCAGGAGCATCCTTGAGCATGTATATGTGAGTGCTTGTGCTATCATATCATGGGAGAGGCTCCTAGAAGTGGAATTACTAGGTTGTGGAGTGTGTGGTTAAAATGTTAATCAATATTGCCAAATTACCCTTTCAAAGGTTGAGCCAATTCCCCCTCCCTCCAATGGTCTGTGAGTACTCATTTTCCCACATTCTTGCCAGCACTGCTTGTTATCAATCATTTAAATTTTTCCCAATCTAATAGGCAAAAAATGGTAGCATGTCACTTTCATTTGCATTTCCCTGGTTGCTAGTGAGATAGGACATCTTTTCGTGCATTTATTGGTCAATTTAGTTCCTCCTCTGCAGATTTCTAATTCACTGCCAATTTCTCTCTTCTTTTGTCTTTTTTCTTATTGATTTGTAGGGGCTCTTTGCATATTAGTGATATTTTCTTCCAGTGTCTCATTTGCCTTTTAACTTTGTTTATGTGTCTTTTGCCGTACAGATGTTTTACACGTTTATGTACAGTGGTTGGATTTGTTGAATTTTCACTTTATGGCTTCAGGATGTAATGTCTGGCATAGAAACGCTTCCCACTGCATCAGATTTCATTTCAAATAAGAACTTTGTTGCTGAAAAAACTTTGCAAAGCTCTGGTTTGTAGGCTCCTTCCCAGCTGTGTGTCTGTTCCTCTTGGCAGCTGCAGGCCTGCCTCTGAGGGAGGGGAGGGGTCCTCCATCCATCTTCAGCTCTCAGCTCTCCCTCTTTCTGGCTGGCTTTGGGGTCGCTGCCACTCTCTTTCAGAGCCTCTGTCTCTCATATGATTTGCCCCCATTCCTCTGTCTCTGCTGTTTTCCCGTCCCCAGCTGGTTTCCTATCAGGCAGCAGTAACTAGGGGTGTGAGGTGGCTGTGGCGGCAGCCCTTAGTGGGTTGGGGATGGGATGGCAGCTGTCACAGAATGTGCCCTTCGCCCAAGTCATGTGGGCTGGCAGGGGAGGCCCTGGCCTGGTTTCTTCTCTAGAAGAGACTCTTCCTGTCAGAGCCTGAGGGCGGGCTCTGAGCCAATCCTAGTCCCTCTTCCATCAGGAAGCCTCCAAGACAGCTTCTTCCTCCCTTCCCACAGTCCTGGACCTGGCCCTCCTTTCTGTCCTTGCTGGTCTTTCCCCATCCTGCCTTCACAGGGCTGAGCTTCCCAGAGTCCAGCTGGCCACCTCTCAGGGCCTTGGTTTCCACCTGTGTAACATAGGTCCTGGGCGGCTGTCATAGCTGCTGGAAAGCATGGAACCTACAGCACTGGCGGGTCTTCCCAGCCAAACTCTGAAAGGTGTTACCTCTTGTTCTCTTAGTACAGCCCCATCCCAAAAAACAACAACACAAAACAAAACAAAACACCAAAAATCACAGGAGAGAGCTTGCATGTTGCTGACAAAGAGATAGGGACTTGTGTTCCGTCAGGATGGTGGCCAGTGGGGCTCACTGGTTCTCTGCTCACCTCAGGCCCAGTGTCATGCCTGGCTCATGGGAGGTGCCCAGGAAAGAAAGAGAGAAAGGGCAAAGGCTTAATGAACAATGTGGGAGCTGCTGAGGCTGGGGAGGAGGAGGGAAGTCTGGGGCCCACATTCTTTGAGTTACTTCTGGGTAGCAAGGCACTTTCCTCATAGTTCCTCATTCCTGGGGCCTGAGGTGCTAATGAGAAATATCCCCCTTTACATCCTGGAGATGTGGGCCCCAAGTGGACTATAGTGGGACCTTGGGCTGGGGGAGCAGCTGGGAGAAAACTTGAGGAAACTCAGAGGTCTCTTAGAAGCATGGCTCAGAAGTGCATAACCTAAAACTCTGAGGGACCCTTCCCTGGGCTCCTGCAGTCCCTGGCCTTCTGGCCTGGCACCCACCCTCTGATCATGATGGTCTGTCTCCTCTGAGCAGGAGCAGTGTCCTTTATATTTCCCTGTTCCACTGACCAAGCGCATGGTACATACTTAACAGAAGTAGAATGAATTAATGAGGGAATAGCTAGGGGTATTGATCAGAGGGCTTAGGTCTGGGGAAGAGGAGACCCGGGCTCTGGACTTGACTTTTGGTTGATTTTCTGTGTGACCTTGACCCTGGTTGGACCTCAGTCTCCCCATCTGTACAGTGGGCGTGGGCCTCTCAAGCTCTGTGATTTTGCTCCATGTTGCCAGAGCAGGCACAGGCCTACATGACATACACACGCAGCACACATGCCAGGGCCCTGTGTGATCAGTGTTTGCTGAATGTGTACTGCGTGCCAGCCCCACTCAGTGCTGAACCCACTTTGTCAGAGTCCTTGGATAGCTGTTTCTGTGGAGGTCTCACATTTTCTGGGGCATTTGTTCATTCTTCTAAACACACAGGCTACACAGGCTGAGAGCTCCCTGGGCTCCACTGAGGTGGCAAGGAGCCAAAAGAGCAGGTAGGAGGCCCCCAACCTTGGCTGCAGCCCCTTGCACTCTCCTTGGCTGTGAGGCCTGCAGCTGGGGTTTCATGTTTTTGGGGACCTGGCACACCAGCAGACCTTGTGTCCAGGCGAGTGCCCGGCTCCCACTGCATCTCCTCCCCTGCCCCCAAATCATTGTCATGCTCTGCCTGTGGTCCCATTTCCATAGCAACTCCTTGTGATGCCACAGAGGAGAGTGGGAGCTTTAGGAAGATTTTGGGGGAAGGGAGTGGGAGGCCCATTCATTGTCTTGGAGTATAGCAGGTGGGGGCCCGGAATGGCACTGTGGGGATGGCTTACCCTGCCAGCTCAGGTGGAACTGGGTTCAGGGTCGCCAGCCAGGTGGTCTGGAGGCCTTCCAGGGACAGGGCTGCCCAGGTTGGCCTGGGCCTGGCTGGCTCATGCCAGTCTATCAGGATCCAGCTTGGGAGGCCACTGACAGCGCCTCTGTCTGGCTAGACCTGGCTTAGGGTACCCGGGCCTGAGGAGCTGCCCAGTCTCTGCTACCCCTCTGTCCCAGGCTGGCACCGCTATGTTCTCTCCTGTCCTCCAGGATCAGCAACTAGTGGGAGGTGCACCCAGGGCCGGCTGGCAGCAGGGCCATAATTTGGGACTGGTGAACTGTGGGGCTGGGCAGGCCTCTCTTCACTGGTCCGGACTGCTTCGTGGCTCTGTTGTCAGGATGGGAAAGCCAAAGTGGGCCCTGGAGCCTGCTCAGCACCCATTTCTCTGCATCCTTGGAGAAGTCTGCAGCCCATAATATAGGAAGACCCCGGCCTCAAAGCATCTCGTACATCTTCACCTACCACGTGGCTAAAAATTCCAGCATTCACTGGATTTGATAGAATGTTGATAGATTTGATAGAATGTTGATTGTGGGAGGGACCCTAAGGGCTTTTCCATCTTCTGCCCACATTATAGCAGTCACCTTGGAGCCCCATCCACCCATCCTTCCATCTCTCCCTTCCGGAAGGCCTTGTGAATGCCCCTGGGGTCCTAGGCCTGTGCTGGACAGCACCCAATGGGAAATCGAGCAGAAAGGAGGGGCTGGCCTGGCCCTCCAGGGAAGGTGGAAGCTGCTTGCCCTCTCAAGGGCTGCCGGGAGCCAGGTGCTGGGTTCGATGTCAGCTTCTTGAGCTTCCCTTTCACCATCACGGTTGAAACCACCCCTGGGTACCCCCTGCACTTATGTTTTCTTAATCCTTGTCTTCATGTTGACTTATGTTTGAAGGTGGATTACCATGATGCTGCCAAAGCACACATCCAGGAAATCACACCTGTGATGTGCCTGTCATTTTTTTTTTTTCCCAATACACAGATAGAGAAACACATAACTGAAAATGAAAACGTTTGTCTGCATACCACGAAACCCCCTTGTGCACTCCCAGAAGCATGTGTCTCCTACTTTGGGAAACACAGATCTGACTGAAACCTCTCTGCAGCAGCTCAGAAAGAGATTTGGGACTTGGTCTGAGAGGTTGAGGAAACTGAGGTACAGAGGAAGAAGCTTTGCCCAGGGCCACGTGGAGGAGGGAGAGCTGGGAGTTAACTCGCCTCCTTGGACTTTGAGCTGAGCTTATATCCTGCACCATGGAGGCCTCAGAGCCTTTCCAAGGAGCCAGAACTTCCTAGCACCCTCCCCTACTCACAGAGGACAGAGCGTCTGGTCTAGAGGAACCCTTGGAGAATATATAATGAAGGAATAAAACAGGATGCCTGGGTATGATGACTCCGTGGATAATCCCAGCACTTTGGGAGGCTGAGGTGGGAGGACTGCTTGAGGCGAGGAGTTTGAGACCAACCTGGGCAACATAGTTTACAAAAAAATTAAAAAGTTAGCTGGCCGTGGTGATACACACACCTGTAGTCCCAGCTCCTTGGGAGGCTGAGGTGGGAGGATCACTTGAGCCCAGGAGTTTGGGCTGCAGTGAACTATGATGGCACCACTACACTCCAGCCTGAGTGCAGAGCAAGACTCTGTCTCTGTACCTTAAAAAAGAAAGGCAGGAGAGGTTGGGGGATGGGAGGGTGAGTAGGTGGGGGGTTGTAGGGATCTTGGGGCCTCGGAAGTTGAGGCTCAGGCCCAGGGAGAGGCACTCTGGTGCTGCCCATCGTCCCCTCTCAGGGATTAGCCTGGGGCCTGCCTCCTGGGTCCTGGCTGGGGAGGAAGGCAGGCAGTGGCATTGGCTGGACACCTACTGTGCACCAGGCCATGTGTCCCTTCTCTCTATATATCCTCCCAGCAGTCCTGGCAGGAGAGATGATATCTCCCTTTTATGGATGAGGGAAGTAGCTTTCCCAGGGCCACAGAGCCAGTTGGTGGGAGAGGCATAGTCAGACTCCAGCCTGCTGGGGCCACAAACCCTGCCCTTCCCAGAGGCCTGCCTACCCCAGCTAGTGCTCTGTGTGTGTGTGTATGTGTGTAAGCATAAGTTTGCCAGTGAACGAGAGAACATGTGTGAGTGTGTGCAAGTGTGTGTGTGTCAGAGTGTGTGTGTGGGATGTTTGAGTTTTTAATGGCTCAACCAGGCAGGATCAGACCCATTTGCAGGTGTGGCCCCCACTGCATCCCGACCACCTGCTTCCCTGCTCTAGCTGACAGCCATCTCCTCTTTCTCCCTACAGCCTCCTGCGCCCACAGGCCCTGAAGCTCCAGTGCCCACAGGTGGAGAGGGCAACTGAATCCAGCTCAGGCTAAGCCCCACCCAGCTGTACTTCCCAGACACCCACCCAACCCTAGGTAAGATGCCACTCTGGGCAGCAGGGCAGGGTGGGGGTGGTGTGAGCCGTGGAAGGTGTGGGGTCTGTAGGGGAGGCTGTCGTGGGGCCCTCTTTCTGGGGGTTTCCCCATCTCTCCCTCCCCACATGCAGCCATGCTCAGGAGGTTTCTGTGGCGGTGCCACTTGCCGCCAGCCCTTGCTGTAGCAGGGCTCTCCAGCAGGCAGCTTGGAAGCCTGGAGTGTTCTTCCCAGCAACTGGGTTTCATGGACAGTTCCGGCTAATGGCTTTCCGTGTGGCATGGGAGGTCTCTAAGGGCAAGCTGCAGGGCTCTGTCTTTGGTCCTGTCACATTGTTGACCAAATGTGTGCCTGATTTCAGGTCGGGAGGGAGCCAGAACATGTGGACTGAGACAATCAGGGTCCAAGAAACTGTCAAGAGGCTGGCATTAGCTCTAATGTGTGGAGTTTAACAGGGTTCCACACCAGAGACAGCATGTGGGTCCAGACACCTTGAGGGAGAGATGAGGCTCAGACCCCAGGTGTGTTTGTGCAACAAGCACTGGCAGCCAGGTGACCTTGGCTCTCTGTGAACAGCAGATAGGTTCTTAGACTGTATCATGAGGAGCAGGATCCCCAGAATGTGGGAGGTGACAAGTCCTCTCACTTTGTGGTTCATGTGAAGGAATGTGGAGAAACAACAGCATGTCCCAGAGAAGTGGGAGATGGGGAAGGAGGGGGACCTGGCTTGCTGCCTGGTTTGACCTCTGGCTTGCTTGTGACCTTGGACAAGTCACCTCTACCCCATATCTTGGCCAATCCCCTGTTCTTGACAGGCCTCTGTCACCCATGAGAGAGCTGCAGAAAGACTTTGCTAAACAGAGGGAATGGTGGGTGGGCTATGGGCAGCAGGCTGGCCTGGCGGATTGTCCTCATTTTTCAGAGGAAGAAGCCTGGCGGCTCTTCAGGCAGCAGGCCTGGACTCCCTTCTCCTGAGGGATCGGGTGACAGCTGTGTTTGGCTGAGGCTCAGCCAGCCCTGTCCTCACACTGAAGCTGGCGGAAGCAGAGGCCTGGATTTCCTTCCCAGACACGAGGCCTTGCTCCGAAGCCCAGTTAGCACCATCAACATATTTCTGGTAATTAGTTGGCTCTGGGTAGAATAAGCAGCTGATTAGCCCCTCCAGTTTAACCTGTAATTGCTGCTGGAAGATGGGTGAGAGGATGGGGTCAGGGTTGTCTGTGCAGCAACCGGGGTGATGGGGGCAGGGGGCAGGGGGCAGGGGCGTGAGCAGCCTCCCCACTGCCCAGGCAGACAGCAGCACCCACAGGCACCACAGCCCAGGGGCATGGGGAGCTCAGGAGGCAGGGAGATGCAGGCGGGAGCTGACACAGGGCAGGAGGGCCACAGTCAGCTGGGATCTGGCAGGGCTTGGAACAAGTCACACCTGGGCTAAGCCTTGAAATCTGTAAGGTGCTTTTCAAACATTTTATTTTTCTGGTTATAAAAGAAGTAATGTGTGTTCTTTATAGAAAAGTGTGAGCTCTTGGGTGTTTAGCCCATCAGTCTTCTACAAAACATGTATTTATGACATAATTGGGATCAAGCTGTACTTACTGTTTTCTAACTTGCCTTTTGTTCTTAATCCCATACCAAGATCATTTTCCTATCATTCAATACTCTTCGATAATGTGATTTTTAATGGGTCCTGCAGACTCTAGGAGTGGTGGGCAGGATGAGGTGAGGTGTCCTGATCGGTTGCCTTGACCAAGTGGGAGATGAAAGAATTTGGATTCAAGTCCCAGCCCTGCCACTTACTGGTGTCCTCGAGCAAGTGACTCAGCCTCTCTGGACCTTTTTTTCCTCCCGAGTGGCACAGTAACCTCCCTGAAGGGTGGTGAGGATCAGATGGGATTGCACAGGTGAACCTGCTGGGCCCAGGCCTGGTGGGTCTTGCCTGTGGAACCTGAATTTGTGGGCTGTGTCTTAACGGCACTGTTAGGTGGTGCTGGTTCCTGTCCCAGCCCTGCTTGCTTCTTGCAAGTGATTCATTTCTCCAGTCTCAGTTTCCCATATGCACAATGGACATAATGATACCTACCTCACGGAGGTGTTGTACTGTCTCAGCGAGAGTCCTCTGTGACCTTCCCCCGCATCATTGAATGAGTCTGTTCTCCCTAAGTACACAGTGGAATTTGCCTGGGGTTGGCCACCACATCATGAGTAGGTGACGTGGTCCTTGCCTCTGGGTAGCAATGTGAAGTTAGAGGGATCAAGGAGAAATGCTGTGAGCCTCAGGAAAGGGAAGGAGATAAAAGCTGGGGAAGTCAGGGAGGGCTTCCTGCAGGTGTCTGGTCCTTAGAGCTCGTGAGGATTTGGGGAAGGTGGGGGTGGGAGAGAGTGACAGAGAGCACGTGTGTTTGGGAATAGTGTGAACAAAGAACAGGCAGGAGGAGTAAGCCTGGAACAGGGTATGAGCTGTCCGAGAGCTGCTGCTGACTGGGGGTCAGAGCTCTGAGAGGTCCCAGCCCTGGAGCCCTGGTGGGGGTGGAGGACCAGTAGTTGGGGGTGGGACCACTGTCTGCTGACTAAGGGCAGGGAGACGTCAAACAGCCGGGATCCTGGCACACAGCCCTACCTGGGGGCTGCAGGGAGGGGCGGGATTTAGCATAGGATCTATGGACAGGCCTCCCCACACACCAGGGCCTCAGTTGGGAAGTGCAAGGGACTGTGTAAGGCCTGGGAAGAGGCTGGTGGCTGCTGCCCAAACTGGCAGGACCCCACCTGTGGAGATCAGCCTGTGGGCCACCTTTAGCCAAAATGTGTGAGCCAGGGGCTCTGGCGGCTTGAAGTCCAAGAGAAGGAGATGTGGGAGGGGTCCGCATTGGGCTGAGAGGGCCAGGGAGGCTCACCCTTGTGGAGCACCCACTTTGTGCCAGGCCCTAAGTCAGACTCACTCCTAGCTTGGGTTTGTGTAATTTGCACAACAGCCTGGAGAGGGCGCCAGCTCTTAGACTCATTTTAAGGAGCTGGAAACTGGGAGAGGCGAATGACTGGCCTGCCCTGGCCCTGTTTCAAATCGGAACTCCACACATCATGCTTTTTCAGTGGCCCCGTGCTACTCCCCAAGGCTGTGGTTTTTACAGGTGATGACCCCAGACTTCCCTGGGCAGGCTTGAAAGAACTATATCGCAGTACGAAGTCTTCCTTGGCTTTGCCTTTCTTAGGGAGGCTCAGAGAGGTCGAGGGTATGACCCAATGCCACACAGCCCTGGGGTCTGCAGTCCCTGGCTCCCTGGGGGGCATGCGCCATGATCCCTTCTCTCTGGGGTCTGGTGGCCCCAGCCAAGCCCTACGAGGTCTGGGAACCTAGGGGGTCTTCCCAGATGTAAGACTACTCATGCCTCGGAGCCACTGAGAGAGGCTTTAAAAATTTTGGCCTCAAATTAAAACGTATGAGCTCCTCAAAACAATGAAAAATTTCCCTAATAAAAGGAGAGGCACACTCAGGCATGTCCTAAATGAATTGAGTGACTTCAGGGATTAATTCGGGATGTATGGGAGGGCGCCCAGCCGGGAAAAATGCACAGTAGATATTGTAACAAATTGTTTGCTCACAAGAGGAATAATTCTTTTTTCTTTATTATACTTTAAGTTCTAGGGTACATGTGCACAACCTGCAGGTTTGTTACATATGTATACATGTGCCATGTTGGTGTGCTGCACCCATTAACTCGTCATTTACATTAGGTATATCTCCTAATGCTATCCCTCCCCCCTTCCCCCACCGAATGACAGGCCCCGTGTGTGATGTTCCCCATCCTGTGTCCAAGTGTTCTCATTGTTCATGTTCTCACTCACAGGTGGGAAGAGGAATAATTCTTAATGTGCACTGGCTGCAAGGGGAAGCTACCTTGGCTGCCTGCAGCACGATCCCTCATCAGCCAGGCGCTGGGCAGGGTCTCTGCTAGGGCAGCCTTACCTGTAAGCCTCCAGGCCTACCAACCACACAAGCTGGCCTGAGTGGGACTGAGTGGGCCCTCCATGCGTCCTTAGAGCCCCACGGCCTTCTGAGTTCTGCTCTCTTCTGCTGGCTCTGTGCTTTTGGCTAGGGCGGGGAAGGTGCTGGCTGGAGGGCAATTCTTCCTCCTCTGCTATGCAAACCAAACTCTTCCTGTTAAGACCTCCCGGAGACCCCAGCCTGCCAGTCCCCCCATCTCAGACGACCCAAAGGAGGCTCCTCACAGACTGGCTCTCAGCATGCCCCAGTTTACCTGTCCCAGGCTTGGGCAGCTGCTTCCTTCCCAGGTCCCTTGCCTCGGGGATGAGTGGGGTGGGGGCAGCACCGTCCTCCCTGGCCAGCCCTCCCAGGTTCCTAGTGTCTCTGTACCAAACCTGGGGGAAAGGTGAGGCAAAGTCAGTCTGTGCTCAGGAACATAAATGAACACCACTGAGGTGGAAACGGAGAAAGGCTTCCTGTATCCCACCTCCCACTCCCGGCTGGAGTGGGTCCAGCACAGAGAAAAAAAAGCACTGGCTCCTGAGTCAGGCGAGCCTGGATTTGGGTCTAGCTTCCCTGCTTTCTGACTCTGGGACTCCAGGCAACTCCCACAATCTCTCCAGCTTCTTCCTCTGTAAGAGATGAGATTTGTTTTAGCAGCAGCAGCAGCTGCTCACAGTTTTGAGATACAGTCTTATCCATCCACACAGCAGTCCTAGAAGTTGGGACCTAGGATTATCCCCATTAAACGGACAAAGAGACTGGGCTCAGAGAGGTGAAGCTCTCTGCTTCCTTGTAGCTGCTTCATGAAGTTGTTTAGAGAAAAGGGCCCTGATTATAGATGCTCCTCCATGAACACTGGCCCCATGTGCTCCCTTTCCTGAGCAGAAGAGGTGCTGAGGCCCTACCAAGGTAGGGGCAGGAGACTTTGGGCACGGGGACCCTGATCCTTCTCACCTCTCCCGTCTGGCTTGGAGCCAGCCTGCCCTTTCATTCACTCCTTCATTCACCCGCTCATCAAGT